AATAAAGCTGTTTAATAACTGCCTCTGCTGCAAAGCAGTGTGTCAGTGCTCTGTGCAGGGACACTGCTCAATCAGCGTGAATCAGGGAAAAGAGAGATGTCTTTGGATGTTACCTGACTCATTAGATGCTTAAGTCGGTCTAACCTTGGGACTGGGCAAGAGACTTGGAGCAGGAGGGCTGCCATCTCATGGCCCTGCCAGAAACCTGCTCCAATTGTGTTTAGAGGTGGAGAAACAAGACCTAAAAGTTGCAGGGATCAAGTATTTTTCACTTAAGCAGTGGGAAAGGGGGTGGTCTGTTCCCTGTGCCACAGACACTCTGACATCCAGATCAAGCTGTCAACAGCACATGACATCTGTAAATCTGACCTCTCCCTTCCAGTACGGAGAGGAAAAAGGGAGAATTCAGGAGCACCACGACTAGTGGGCACGAATCCGTTCTGATCACAGCTCACCCTGTGCTGGTTTTGGCTGGGATAAAGTTAATTTTCTTTACAGTAGTTAGTATGGGGCTGCGTTTTGGATTCATGCTGGAAAGCATGCTGATAACCCGGGATTTCCCACACCGTGTGATGTGTTCCTCTGCAATAAAAGTTGGGGTAGAAGAAGGAAAGGGGGACATTCAGAGTGATATCCTGTGTCTTTCCAAGCAACGGCTACATGTGATGGAGCCCTGCTCTCCTGGAGATAGCTGAGCACCTGCCTGCTGATAAGAAGTGGTGAATGAAATCCCTGTTTACTTTGCAGGAACACATGGTGCTTGCTTTACTTATTAAACTGTCTTTATCTCAACCCATGAGTTTTCTCACTTTTACCCTTTCAATTCCCTCCCCAGCCCGTTGCAGGGGAGGGAGGTTGTGGCATGCGACTGAACTGCCAGCTGAAGTTAAACCATGACAGTCCTTTCTGGCATCCAAAATGGGGTTCAAAGTGTTTGAGATAACAACCAATTTGATTGTAGTACGCTAGAAAGAATTTATAGCCATTTAGCTACTAATTGACAAGCTCCTGTGCATGCCATGACACTTGGTTCCTTTAATGTATATTACAATGCAGTGCTCATTAGTGGCTGTGGTTTGCTTATTCTGCTCCTTGTGCTGCTGATCATCTCACCCTGCCATGCCTGGGAACCTTTTGGTAACAGCAGTGGTGATGAGCCTGGACTGCCAGGTGGCCAGGGCATCGCTGCTGTTTCTGTGCTGCACTGGACAGACTTCCAGTGGGAACTCTTGAGTGGAAGGAACTGTGACCTGTGGATGCATCCACACAGGAGCAGGACACCCTGAAGTGCCTGTGGCCGTGAGTAAGGCCGCACCAGAGCAAATGCATCTTGAAGCATCCGTGGCTGTGGCTAAGTCTGTGCCGCAGCAGATGTATCTCTGACGGGATTGCGGCCCAAGGATAAGTCCATGCTGGAGAAGGTACACCTCGAAGCATCAGTGGCTGCGCATGAGGTCATGCTGCACCTCTAAGCATGTGGCCATGGATAAGCCCACAACAGATTGGGTACAACCCTTGAGGGACTGCAGCCACACTACCCATGGGTGCAGTCCCTCCAGATTTGCTTCTGAAGGCATTGTGGCCCGTGGAAAAGGTCTCACTGGAACAGGTGCCCCTCAGAGCAGCTGTGACTGTGGGTAAGCCTGTGCCACAGCAGGCATACCCCTGGAGAGACTGTGGCTCACAGAGGAGGCTCCACTTGGAGCAGGTACACCCTAAGGGACTGCAGTCTGTCCGTAAGTCCAAGCCAAAGCTGGGGCAAGGGGAAAAGTTCATTACAATGTTAAACTCTATGGTCTGGTCCAAACAGACCAACAGTGGAGATTGGAGTGGGAGCCACCTGAACTGATGGAGGACAAGACTTGCAAGAAACAGTGAAAGTGCAGCAGTGACCTGACATGAACTGGCTCTGGTGCCCAGTAACGTCATGCAACACACCACCTCTCCTGTCCTGAGTGACCACCATAACAGACGGACTAAATGAACTCAAAGTCATGGACTAAATGAACTCTGTGGGCATTTTGTGGACATTTTACAGACATATAATAGGGATGGTCTATAAACTAGGGGAATGGTATCTGTGTATTACATCAAAGGATGGGAAAGGGGGTGAGAGGTAGTGAGATTGTGTTGGATAGTGTGGGGCCTGCACATTACATAAATAATATGGAATAAAGGCCGGAGGATATGCTGATTTTGGCTGGGATAATTTTCTTCACAGCAGCTGATGTGGGGCTGTGTTTTGGATTCGTGCTGGAAACCGTGTTGATAACATAGGGATGTTTAAGTTATTGCTAAGAACTGCTCATAAAAAGTCAATGCCTTTCTTCTCCTCCCCCCACGCCACCAGTGAGGAGGCTGGGGGTGCACAAGGAAGTGGGAGGGGACACAGCCGGGACAGCCACCCCCAACTGACCACAGCGATTTCCCAAACCATGTGATGTGTTCTCTGAGATAAAAGCTGAAGAAGAAGGAAGGGGGGGATGTTCGGAGTGATGGCATTTGTCTTCCCAAGTCGCTGTTAATCGTGGTGAAGTCCTGGTCTCACGAAGATGGCTGAGCTTCCGCCCTTCCCCTGGGAAGTGGTGAATGAATTATTCATTTTCCTTTGCTTGTGTATGTGGCTTTTGTTTTACTTGTTCAACTATCTTTATATCTCAATCCACAAGTTTTCTCACTTTCATCCTTTTGATTCTCTCCCTCATCCCACTGAGGGGGAGTGAGCCAGCAGCTCTGTGGGGCTGAGCTGCTGGCTGGCATTAAACCATGACATCCCAACACATAGATCTTCGAATGGGTCTCCAACCACAGTGACTCCTGATGTTCAGAGCCTGTGTAAGAGAAAAGCCAAATCCATGAATTAGTGCATCAATGCCGTACTGCCCACACCAGCCTTCCTCCTCAGGCAATGGTTTCTCTTTCTGAACTACTCCCTTGGATGCTTCTTCTTCCTTCCCTTAGCCCTTGATGTTTGTACATGGATGTAGAGGCTTCCCAGCTGTCCATCTCAGATCTTTCCTGGGACCTACTGTTTGTTCACGCGCTCTGATACAGGCTTTTCCATTTTCCAAGAGGCTTTCCAAGCATCAGTAAGCCACCTCACTAAAACTGCTGGATAAACACAGAGCCTCTCACAGTGGGACTCCAGGAAAGGGAAGTTTATAGGGCTGAACCAGCCTTTGTCCCTGAGAGATCTCCACCATGCAGGATTGACCCACTCAACCCCAGATGACAGTTATAAGAACAATGTCTCTCTACAAGAAATGTCATCTTAGGCCGACAGGGTTTACAAGGGACTGAAGGTTTCCAAGGATTCAGAAGAGCCTGTCTGGTGATGTTAGGAAGAACAGCCTCAAGAAGTCACAGTTGCATTAGCACAGGAGATTGCAGTCATGCCTGGATCACTCCCAAGGAGTTTTTATACTCAAAATATGACCTCTTTGCCGCAGGAGGTGCTGGTAGCTGAGGAGTGAGAGGGTAGACCATAAGCCACACACAACAGGGTAAGCTTGAAGACTTCAGCTTGTTGCACACTGGATGGAAAAGGCTCAGGACAGGGTCAGACCATCTCTGCCACACTGGATCTCCTTGGCCAAGTCATCCCATGACAGGGCCTGAGATGGATTTAGGGTAAAAGGAACCTCTGGAGATTGCTTAGCAAAACCTCTTGCTCAAGGCATGTCTCTGAGTCATAGCAAGTCCTCTCATCCAAGGGTGTGGATCCAGAGCCCAGTGATACATTTGGCTGTCTGGAGTGCACACACGATACATGCACATCACAGGTGCAAATTTACACAACTCTGACATTTACTCTTCTCTTCCTTTATTCGCAAAAGCATTAATCATTATGACCCCTCTCTCCCACCTCATCTTAGGGGATGATGTTTTCAGAACCTATCTTCTACCCCTCTTTCAACTTCCATAAGTACACCAGCCCCATATCCACTCAGGAAACACAACCCAGACTTGTGTGATCCTTCCAAAACTTTGCTGGAGGCTCAGACATTATCTGGGCTGAGAGTGAAGGACAAAGAATTTGAGAGGAGACATGAAGCAAGCAGGTCAGTGTCTAGTGACCTGTCCTCATCACTCTGGTGAAAGCAGCCAGGAGACCTTTGCCAAATTACACTATGAATTCCACACACCGAGGGCAATCTGGCTTTCCAGTCTCAAAGAATAAAGACGAACCACTTGGGGATTCTGTACAGGAAACAGCTCAGATGCGCAGCAGAAATCAGGTCAATCTGCTTTTCAAGTGACATCAGAACCTCAAGAAAAGCCATCTGGTGTCACCTCTTATCCCCAGATCCTGTGTGCTCTGTATGCCTGTGTATAAAACATATAATTTTCTTTCCTAAGGGTACTCTCTAAGTCAATTCTATTTTAGGATTCTCCCCAAGACACTGCAGTTTAGATCTAGTTTTATGACTACCTGGGTTTCTACATGGGGCAAATGAAAACAAGCAGCTTGGGACACAGTTGTCAAGATCAAGTCTATTTGCCTACCGGCCGTATTTCCTGGTTCATAGAAGTGTTTTTCTATTTCTCTTCTCTATAGTCTCCAGGATGGGCTATATATCCATTAACCCACTACTGAGAGCAGCAAATCTGCTGTTTCCTTCACCACGTTGAGGAAAACTAGCCCTCATTTGGAGTCACAACTGCATGTCTCAGACAAAAATTTTGTGCTGCGGCACAGCTGCCTTCAGGAGGCCTGGGGAAACTCTGAGTCGGGACAAGACGAGCCCTCCTTGCCCGGTCCCCAAGGGTGGCAACGCTCCAGCACCTTTGCTCTGGTCCCAAGGACAAGGAGGGAATGGCTAGTGACAAAGTGCAACCTGGAGGGCTGCAGTATATCATTGTAATGGATGAATGTCCTGGTAAAAGTGCTCATTTTATCACACCTGATTAGAGTCTTTAGTGCTCACATAGTTTAAATATTAATACATGCCCATTTAAGCAATGCTCCCTACTGCAGCCCGGTCACAGCAGTCATCACCATGGCTGAGTTTGGAGATTTTATAACTGCTCTGGGGGAGTTTGGGCTCTATCAGAAATTGCTAACACTGTTGCTGTCCCTTCCGCTACTTCTCAATTCTTTCCAAATGATTGGCCAAGTGTTCATGGTTGTGGATGTGCCCCATCACTGCAACACCAGCTGGATCCTTGCCATCGCCCCCAACCTGACGGAGGAAGAGCAGCTGAACCTCACTCTGCCCCGGGATGCGGATGGGGCATACGAGCAGTGCTCCATGTACTCGCCAGTGGACTGGGACCTCGACTCCATCGTGACGTACGGCCTGAACGCCACGGAGAAATGCCGCAGTGGCTGGGTGTACTCTGCAGATCAGCCACCGTCCCTGCTGACCGAGGTCTGTAATCTCCTTTAGACGCGCTGGGGACTTGAAAGGGAAGGAATGGGTGTATCCTGTGCTGTGGTTTGGTGAATCTATGCCGGCTGAGATTTACACCAGGCACTGGGGGAGCTTGGCTACATCACACAGCTCACAGCTGCCATCTCATGATGTATTTTGCCTGGAGACATCTTTGGGATCTCCCTATCAGTTTTCCTTATTCTTCATCCTAGTTTTCCTCACATCATCTTCTCTGTGAAAAACATTTACCTTCCAACGGCTTGTCACTGATATTTCTGGGGCTTCCAGAGACTTTCAGGGTGGCAACAAGACATTCCCTTCTCCTTCCACCCTGTCCTGCCTTTGCAGCCAGAGAAGCAAGCTGCTAGGACTCTTATCCCAAGGTTTTGTTTAAAGCAAAGCTTGCCACCCAGGAGGCTCCTTTAGGGGTATCTTGGCTGGAGGGGAGTCCTGCAGGTCCCAGTGCTCAGGAGATGTGCACCATGATGAAGAGGCAGGCTCAGCACCTCGTACACCTGTCCCATCTCTGATTTGTGTCACACCAGTGAGGTTCATGTCCTTGTGGATGGGTTCTCTGCTCGCAAGGGCTGGAGCGAGCACTCAGGAACACAGCCCTGGGTCCACCATGGACCAGAAGGGCAGTCCATCCTCAGAAAGTAGCCGGGGTCTGTCGAGAGCAAAAGCAGCTGTGTTTCCTTCCTGCAGTTTGACCTGGTGTGCGACAGGAAGGACCTGACCGACATCTCCCAGTCTATCTATATGGCAGGGCTTCTCATAGGATCCATGATCTTTGGGACACTATGTGACAGGTGAGGAAACACAATCACCTACCCAGAGCTATTGCCCAGTACCCAGTGACAGCCTAGATGAAAATTCAGGATGTCCATGCACTGAGTATGAAATGGTTCCTCCACAGGAGCCTGAGCAAGGGTATCTGGGCCACCTAACACACATGTCTGTAGATGTCTGAGGGTTGAAATGAAACAGAGGCAGACACAGCCTTACGAGGAGGTCCTTCAGGAATCATAAGCGTATCTCTAGGAATGCCAGAAACCTGCATATGGGCACAGAGTTGTGCAACTGTGTTAACCAGACCATGGTCCCTCCTTCCTGTGGCTGTGCTCAGCTCATGGTGACCTGAACCAAAAGCCTCAGCTCCCTGGAGGACACAGTCACGGAGGGGACATCTCAAGGAAGAAGGGCACAGCATGTGTACAGGGGAACCAGAGCTAGAGTCCATTACATTCTGGTCCCCGCTGCTCTCAAGAGAGGCAACACAGGGTCCATCAAAGGCTGGTTGCTTTAGCAGCATCTCCTTTTGACTTTACCATCATCACAATGGGCTAGAATGGAGATGCTGCTTTTTCTATTGTTTACTTCTTGAGGCATATAGAGGAGCTTAGTTCACACAGGTGTCAGATCTCCCCTGGTGTGAATGGTTCTTCAATCAATTTGTATTTCACCTGGGCTCTTCCCCAGCCCCATGGGGTGTCTCCAGATACCAGCTGTGCCTTCTCTCTTCCTCCCTAGGATCGGCCGCCGGCCAGTGTTTCTGATCGCCATCCTGCTCCAGGGTTTGTTCGGTCTAGGAGTTGCCTTTGTGCCCCATTTCTACGTGTATATTGCCTTCAGGTTTGTCGTGGGAACAGCGGTGTCAGCAATCCTGATTACTTCCTTGGCCTTGGGTAAGTGAGTAGGATGACCTTGTCCTGAGGGAGATAGATGTGACCTCACAAGGTGCAATAACAAAACATAGTCCTGCATATTTTGAAAAGGGCGACTTTGAACCTTTGTTCCTCTTCTCAGCTACAGAATGGGTTGGTGCCTCCTACCGACCAAGGGCAGTGCTGATTACTCATTGCTGCCTCGCCCTCGGACAGGTAATTTTGGCTGGCTTGAGTTACGGCATTCGCAATTGGAGGCTGCTGGAGATTGCAGGATCGGCTCCAATGTTTGCTCTTTTCTTCTACTTCTGGTAAGAAGGAGTGGGGCAGAGCTCCTGACACACATGACAGCAGTGGGTGTGAGGGGTCACAGCAGCATCTCCTGCTTTCATCTCCTTGGCAGGGTGCTACCAGAATCAGCTCGGTGGCTGGTGATAAAAGGCAGAGTAGAAGAAGCTAAGAAGGTCCTGCAGAAGGCAGCATCCGTCAACAAGCGCACTCTCCCACCAGGAATGCTTGAGCAGGTACCCGCAATGCCACGGGCATCTGCTTCTTGCCTTCAGAGACTTTCCTCTCTGCTTGGCTTTGTAGCAGCCCCTGGAGCCGAGGTCAAGTGATGATAAACATCTTCCCGTGCTGGCTGAGGGTGATTTGGGAATGGACTGGGGCTGACTTGAGCCTCCAGCTACGTTGCACAGAGACAAGGTCAGGGAAGAGGCGCAGCTGCTGCTGAGGGTCAGTCTGGAGCTTTCCTTGCGATATGAAGAGAACCCAAAGGCTTCCCCAGCTTTTCTGCTGTGAGGATCGCAGGTGTGGTGAGGGTGAGCATGAGGACTCTGTTGAGTCTGTGCTTTCCCAGGCATAGAGGCCTGAAGCAGGGTTATCTCCTTGCCCACCTTC